ATCGTCTTTCATCTAAGTTAATATATTCTAATTACTTAATCAGATATTTAATTCGTCTTCTTGTTATATAACAGCTGATGAGACCATGACTACACGTCAGTTCAGCGAAACATCCGGCAAAAAGAATGTATTGGGACGACTGTTCGACGTACTTTTTAAGGTTAGCTTATCATACTATGGTGAACCACGTGTTAGAACATGATCGAATCTGAGTCTGTAATCAACTATTGGGATATCATTTAATATACACAATCTAGTGCTGACAAAAATAAACATACTAATGTCCGTGAAAAAAGAAGTTCTTTCACTGAAAACAAAAAATTCAAAACGAAAGTCACTATTTTGAACCGATTTCAACAAAGCTTATAGTTTCTTCATTAGAGTTAAAAAAAAAAAAAAAACAATAGAGAATATACAAGTTATATTTCGGCATTTTCATTACACGGATAATTAATAAGGCACTTTCTACATAATTTGTTTTTACGATTGTTTCAGAGAAACAAGAATGGAGCCAAGACAATCGTCACTGCTACAGAAGGTGAGAATAGTATCTACTATAAAGAAGATTTATGTGAAATATCACGTTGTAATGATATATGTGTCATTTTGTTTATTCTGTGTCCAATAGGTGGCAGCAGTGGCACCTCAGTCGACGGGCAGACGACATGTTCATCCAAAGCCCGCAGCAAGAAAGACTGGATCCGTAGAAACCTGTTGTGCTGCTTCGTACGACAGACTGCCAAAGCGGAGGGAAAATATCAATAAGGACTCAAAAGTCAACACTGGATTATGTAACCTACAGCTCCCGTGCTTGTTTATATATTTGTTTTATTTTTATTAAATATAGATGAGAAATATATGACATTTGTTTTAATTTTCAGATCAAAAGATTAACAGTGAAGAAACAGAATAACCTTTGTGACATTTTAAGATGCAAAAATATAGAGTAAAAAAAATGTAAAAAGAATGGAGTACGTATACTTAAATACACGCGACAAGATTTAATAGTAAAAACGTCATGCGTTCAGAGTTCTTGGCATGTCGATTCTCTTTGACAGGCAAACATCTTCCTGTCAAAAGCGTCACAGCTGTTTGAAAAAGTTGTCTCTAGGAAACAGGACTTCTACAATGTTTAATAAATGGAAATTAGTTTTATCAAATTATTTACAGATGTATCGCTATACTTAAAGTATGTACATTTCATAAATGTTGATTTAGTAGTAGAATAGAATGATACTGTCGTCGATTGTGCACATTCAACTGCAAAGTTGGTGAAATATCAAAATTGGAAAAGCTGTTGCCATTTGCGGTCAGAAATGTCCTGTTAGGGCATTACTGGAACTTTATCTGTGATTATCAGTTTCGTAAATTTCGTTGCTTACTGTTTTCATTTTGGACTATCAAGAATTTTATCAAGGCCGAAAAAAAATGTATAATTCAAGTTTTCGTCTGAACCTTGTTACGTCTGATATCGTCAAAGAGTGTATCGTCTGATGCTATTCCTAGACCCCTAAACCATCATTATCGCTCCTACTCTTTTAACGAACAGTCTCAAGGGGATCTTTGGCATGCGAGGATGGACAATCATCGCACGAGCCACCGTTTATAGTCCTATCCACCGGACTCTACCTCCATGTAGATTGCGACAGATATCAATACAACCACGGCTGCACGGATCTCCGAGTCTAAGTGTGATGAAATCGCTCAACCATGACTGATCCCATTCTACCTGTGCGCTCACGTGCCTACGACTCGAATAGCGTTAAGAGAACACAACCCATGGCATCCAGTAGAAATTAATGTACATGTAGTTGCAAATTAATCAAATAGCCTCAAAATCTCACCTTATTTCAGTTTTTTTCGTGAAAAAATGACTACGTAATTTGTTATTTTAAACATTAATACCTTTCGAGACTACTGTATGGACCCCATATATATACCTTCATACATCCCTATGTCCTTCTCGTCCGCTGAAAGGCCGAAAGGTCGTAATAGTGGACGTAAAACCTTAAATAATTAAAACCATTTAAAACATTTTCGCCCTTATAGAGTCGACTATGGCAAATCGAAAGCCACTGGACGATTGTTCCTTGAGTTAAACTTCCAGTGTAAATCATATTAGCAAAACGTTAAAGCGACAAACAATGTTCAATTTTCTTTTTTGAAAGAAACATTGGCATTTCAAACTCTACATTTAATAGGTCTAGAATCAATAACGTAACGGTAGCACCGTGGTAAGATCCCTGCTCTCAGCTGAAAAGTTCTTGGATTGAATGCTCCTATCTTTTTTCTTTTATTGAAGGGAGATCACGTGTTATTTTTCTATTTTATTTCGAAAGGAAACGTTTAAATATGAAAAAATCAAATCGTTGGTTGTTTGAAATGTGAAATGAAGTGTTAATATCAATCTAATAATTCTTACGTCGTCTCCAATCACAAAAACGTCAGTGTATCTCTCTCTCGGCGGAAACGAAATTGTAAATATAGGAAAGTTGTGAGGTAAGGGATTATCCTTAATTTTACTATCTTATATATGATAATTGTCGCATAATATATTAATGTACATAAATTATTTATTTGTAAGTTTGCTATCTGATCAGTTGTTACTGTTTGTAATAATGCGGGAGAGGCTTAACATACTTTCAATAACTTGTGCCCAATCCCTTTGTTTCAATTGAATATGTTTAAAAGGCGATGATTGACTTGTTTTGTTTCATAAGAATTAAAGTAAATTCGATTTCGTTAATTTGCGTGCACTGGGTTTTAAACTCACAACCAGTGACAAATTTTCTAACAAAAGAAATCCAAAGGTATTTGTCTTCATGAAAATGTTTAGTTTTTAGCATATTTCAGTACCGGTAAGCGGCTTCACACCGGTGTAAAATGTCTGGGGTTTGTCTTGCACACTGCATGTATTTCTAATCTCGATAATTGATACGCACACAATATACGGATAACCCTTTGATGGGTTGGGGTTCTGTTACAAGTCCCTGTAATCCTCACTTTGATCACCTAAGAATGCAGTTTGCAGTTGCAGTCATAATTGAAGTTGTTCTTCCTTACTTTTTCCGTCTTTCTTTTCTTGTATAAAGACAGCGCGGAAAAAATGTCCATTGTTTTTCCGTGTACTGAATAAAGCATGGTTCGTGTTCTATTAAAAACATGCTTATCTATGACGTCATAATATGCAGACGTCACGTGAGATTTCCTGGTCGTCATTGTCACTCTGTTGCTAGCGACGGAAGGCATCGTAGTTAGAGAAGGAGTAAGAAGGAGATAAGCGACTTGTTATTTTCCTGTTGAAGACCATTTTTTCAAAGGTACGTATAACACAAATCACCATCCAATATGGTAAGTACACAACACAATTCCCTTGTGATATAATGACGTTTTTGACTTGAACTGGAAAGCAGCCACGAGATAACTCCTTACCATGCTTGGGCGCAATCTTTTTTAACATTTTAAATTAATATGCATTTAGCGCTTCTTACTTAGTATATGTATTGCGATGTTAATCTATCAGTGTGACGAGCCTGACTAGACAATAACTAGACCGAATTCACAACGCTCATAGGTGGTTACAATATCACAGTAGCATTTGCGTTGCTTTTTTTTTACCTTTCTGTGTTGACTGATCACATGTCACGTAATTGATTCGCGCGATAGTAAGTTTTACTTCCGCTTAATTTGTATAGAGACAGACTGTGACGGTGCATGGTTCGATTCCTCATTGAAGCACAGTTCTGTGGCAAGCCAACTTATCATTTATTCGTTGAGCTATGTCGGTCCATATTTGAGTTCAATCATAACAGATATCTCATGTCATGCGAAATCTCGTCTTATATAAAATGAAGTCAAGTCCAGAAAATCTCATGGATCACTATGTGTTTTACCAGTTGTTTGCCCTAATGACCTTTTGTGTTGACGGCCCGTTAAGAATGTCATAATAATGATGATGATGATAATTTAAGTCGGTACATCATATATGACAATAAACACAAGCTAAAGGTTTGTACAACCGACTGTAAACATATGTAAATTATATCAAAACAGCAGGCATACATACAAAAGCATATACGACGGTATTGGTTAATTAAGATATAAGTATAAGCGTATGGCATTATATTAAAAAACCAACAAAACAATTCTATTAATATACACACACAATGCAACACAGACTACTACACATGATCATGATATAAAACATTAACATAACTTTTAGGTGTTTGATTTTGAGCATGAATGCTATATAAATGGGTAGGAATTAAAATTTGATAAAACGAAAGCCGTGTAAATTGCTTTCCGTCCTTCTAGTGTCAAATCTTTAGCAATTCGTGCCAGGACATTTATTTGTCTGGAATCTTAAACATACAGGTACGTGACTTTGTCAACTTTTTAATTGTCAAATTTCTCAAGAAGTGTCACAAAATGGTTTAACGTGTCTTACGACAAATCATGGTGATCTTCCAACACAATAAAAGCAAACTTCAATTGTTCTATATGATCAATAATACGCTCAGATGAACCGTTACCGTGATCCATAAGTTTTGCCTCTCCACACATTTCTCGACATCGTTGAGCAGAAAGTTGATTCTTGGATAGACTTAAGTTTGCCTGTTCCAGGCCCATACAAGATATCTCATACAGAAACGAGCGGTCTTACCATACGGTTGTCTTTACTGTTATTAAATATTATTATAATTTATCTATTTACATTTCGTTTTAGAGTTGGTTATTAAACTGTCAATTCGTCCCAGTGATCTTTAAAATAGATATCTCGTATATAGACTGTCTGTAATCGATCAGTATTTCAACATTTGTCTTTTCTTTCTAGACTTATAAAACGGTTTGGACCATTATATTAAACAGTGATGTCGTTGTTTATTAATTAATATTTGTAATTAGGATATCACATCAATATACCTCGACATTGCAGGGTTAATTACTTAATTACTACAGACAAAACCTAAATAACACGAACTGATGTTTCAGAATACACAATGGATGATGAACAACTGCGCCGTATAGCGCGGGATTTGATAAATACTGCAATAGACAACGCAATGGACAAAATCTTTAAAGAGGAAATGACTGGAGATATTGACCAGGGGGTGGATGATATTGTGAAACTGACCATTGGACAGTCAGTTACCGCCATACGCGATGGAAAAACTTCCCCCACCGATGATAAGATGAAGGAATGGGTAGGACACTTTGATAAAGAATTAAGCGATAAAGTCGAGTTGACCATTGGACAATCAGACACCGCCATCCGCGATGGTCAAACCTCACCGTCTGACAAAAAAATGGAAGGACTGTTCAAAACAACACCGGAAGTACCAACCATCACAACAGGAAGTAATTCACCGGAGGTTAGTTACGCGGGAATCAATCAAGAAGTGACCGGAAGCGGAAGTGACCATCTGCTTCAAATAACCCCCGCCATCGTCCAAGGTATTATTTAAAACCCTATTATTTCGTATACAGCATTACTCAGTAAGATAAGTACAAGACGTCAGACTGTCTTATATTAAACAAATCATTGAGATGAATGAGCGAATCGTCCTAGAAATATATCATTTGTTTTCATTGATATCAATGGAATCCCGGATCATTTTATCGGAGCTGTATCGTCTTTCATCTAACTTAATATATTCTAATTACTTAATCAGATATTTAATTCGTCTTCTTGTTATATAACAGCTGATGAGACCATGACTACACGTCAGTTCAGCGAGACATCCGGCAAAAAGAATGTATTGGGACGACTGTTTGACATACTTTTTAAGGTTAGCTTATCATACCATGGTGAACCACGTATTAGAACATGATCCAATCTGAATCGGTGATCAACTATTGGCACAATAATATACACAATCTAGTGCTGACAAAAATAAACATACTAATGTCCGTGAAAAAAGAAGTTCTTTCACTGAAAACAAAAAATTCAAAACGAAAGTCACCATTTTGAACCGATTTCAACAAAGCTTATAGTTTCTTCATTAGAGTTAAAAACCAATAGAGAATATACAAAAGTTATATTTCGGCATTTTCTTTACATGGATAATTAATAAGGCACTTTCTACATAATTTGTTTTTACGATTGTTTTAGAGAAACAAGAATGGAGCCAAGACAATCGTCACTGCTACAGAAGGTGAGAATAGTATCTACTATTAAGAAGATTTATGTGAAATATCACGTTGTAATGATATATGTGTCATTTTGTTTATTCTGTGTCCAATAGGTGGCAGCAGTGGCACCTCAGTCGACGGGCAGACGACATGTTCATCCAAAGCCCGCAGCAAGAAAGACTGGATCCGTAGAAACCTGTTGTGCTGCTTCGTACGGCAGACTGCCAAAGCGGGGGGAAAATATCGATAAGGACTCCCAAGTCAACACTGGAGGCATGCGAGGATGGACAATCATATTTTTTCACAATTGCTGCTCTGAGAGGTGCGCATGTTGAGATTCTTTTGAGCACAGATGTTGTTACCTCTGTCAGCTGGGTCAGATTGAACCTTGGAAATATCCTGTAAAAGATTATGACTTGTCAAAGAGATAAAGTACAAAATACGGTCCAGTCGTAACAAATGGTGTTCGTTATCGATAAGTAGTAAAATTAACAAGAGGCCCAGAAAGCCTGTATCGCTCACCTGGATCTTTATGACCAACATTACTATATCTGTGCATATATTCCACGTTTAATACATTTGACCCCTGTGACCTTGACTATGGGTCAAGGTAATTTTTTTTACTTTCTTGGACTTCATAAAAGGAACATACTGGCCAAATATAATGATTCTAAGCTTTTCAATATTTCAGAAGAAATTGTTTAAACGTTTTAACACATTTGACTCCTGTGACCTTGAAGATTGGTGAAGGTCATTTCTTTTCGCAAACATTGTAGGACACCATACGAGGAGCATAGTAGCCTAAGATAATGATTCTAGGCCTTCCAGTATTTTGGAAGAAGTCGTTTAAATGTTTAAACACATTTGACCTCTGTGAACTTGAATATGGGTCAAGGTTATTATTTTTTTTGCAGACTTTGTTGGGCTTCATCATAGGAGCCTTCCAGTCAAATGTAATGATTCTAGGCCTTCCAGTATTTTGGAAGAAGTCGTTTAAAGGCTTTAACACATTTGACCTTTGTGACCTTGAATATGGGTCAGTGTCATTTCTTTTTGCAAACTTTGTTTGGCTTTATCAAAGGAACCTTCCAGCCAAATATAATGATTCTAGGCCTTCTGGTATATTGCACTAAGTCGTTTAAAGGCTTTAACACATTTGACCTCTGTGACATTGGGTCAAGGTCATTTCTTTTTGCAAGCTTTGTTTGGCTTCATCAAAGGAACCTTCCAGCCAAATATAATAACTCTACGCCTTTTGGTATTTCAGAAGAAGTTGTTTAAATGAAAAGTTGATGGACGCCGCACAGACGGCCTTTGGGCCAGGTGAGCTAATAATAGAAGATTATCTTTGGTTAATTACCAACTTTATGTCATAATAGCAGTGCAAGTTCTGACCTGCAAAATAATTACTCCCTATTCTCACTAATAATCTCCAAATATCTCAAAAATATTATATGAGGTTGGAGTGACTAAAAATGTTCTTGCATCCTTTGGTAAAGTTGGGAAATAGGGTTTTAATAATTTAATTAATTTGTTACTGTGACATGCAGCAGTACTACTTTCAAGAATCCATAATCCATAAGATCACCAGTAAAATTGTTTTGACTATCATCATCGTCATCAGTATTATCGGAGTCTGACACATCAGTTTCCTGGGTTTCTGATATTTCCTTACTGAAATCACTATCTGAAACCTGACTTCTTATTTCAATATCATTTTGTAAATTAATTTATTGACTATTTCTCGAAGTTGAATCGTCTGATCTCTCTGATTCTCTCTTAATGAATCATTTTCATTTTCAAATATACTTTCCGAATTCTGGTCAAGCAAATCAAACTAAGATTCAGAACTTCCTTCCGTAAAATTGATCATTTCTAAAGTTCTTTTGATAGCACGGCGCAGGATAATTTGATCACTCACTAATTGACTTGCCATTTTCCTAGTTAATTTCGAAGGAAAAAATGTGTAATATGATATGGCCACATACTTACACCAAAAATTTAGATATGAAATAAGTAAATGACACAATTATTTATCAACACTTAATTTGTCATGAAAAACATATGTTCCTACATGCTATAATATTGAATAATGTGTAATATATTTTCATTTCAGAAGAGCCTATATAAGCCCTCTCCTTACCAAATATAACAGTATATACATGCACATTACATATGAATATTACTTATACAGAAATTTCAAAAATTATTATAGAGTTTGGACAGGAAATTAATTGTGCTTTTCAGTGAATTTCAATGGACAAGAAACATTTTAAATATCAAAATTATTGTAAAATTAAGCTAGTTAACGGTCTAGAAAAATTGTTTGGTGTCTCTGATGTATTTCTGAACCGTCTCCGTAATATCAATATTCATATTTACGTCTTGAGGCTGAAAACCATAAATGAAAGTTTGAATATTGAGAGGAATAGTCATTTAGCGCTAACGAAGGTTAAATAATATTAGTCTTTGATTAGAATACAGAGGACAGTGCAGGAAAAAATGTTCACGATCTTCGAATGGAGCACCACATGTACAAACAGGGCTATCATTAAGATATGAATTGAATAAATCAGATTTTAGATTCCTTGCAAAATTTCTTAACTGACATAATGTTATATTAATTTTCCTATCACCATGACATTTAAAAATGTTACATTTTGGGTAAGCACCCATATCTGATGAGTTTAAACATTCCTTTTTTAGTGCACCAAGAGATGTCATAGTGGGTAACAGACAAGGCTGGCTCATTCCATTCCGACATAAGTTTTGGAAAAAAACTAGAATTATATAAATGCGTTCTTGATAATGGAACATAAAATAACCGTTATGTCGAAAGTTGTAATTAACAGTGTTGTTAAAAAAAGGGAAGTAGCAAGTCTGATACATGAAGTGGACAAATACTGTTAAAAAATTTTAAAAATACAATATTTTGATGTAAATGTCTTCTCTGACTAAGTGTAACAAAGCCAGTCTCTTTATATAAAATGTCATGGCTAGTGCCTCGCCTTAATCCAGAAATAATTTGTAATGCTTCAAGTTGGACTGACTCTAAGACTTCGAGCGAATGAAATATAAATTTTCCCAAGTGAATTCCTATCAATCTTAAATTTCAACATTCTAAGAATATTAAGTCTTGAATAAGCTTTTTCATAAATAAAATTTATATGAGTTGACCAGTTGGCATTGCCATTGAATATCAAACCAAGGTGTTTATGATTAGAGACATTATTTATAACTCCATTATTAAAAATAAGGTCAGGATGCAACGTCCCAGAGTCAGCCCGTCTTGAATGTTAATGTTATTTTTTATATATATAAGTATTCCGCCACCACTATTATTAGTCCTATCCTTTCTGAAAATATTGCCAAATTTTTCAAGAGATATATTGCTGTCAGAAATGGAATTATTAAGATGAGTTTCAGTAACACATAAGATATTATATTCAGAAAATTCAGCATCAAGAATGTGGGTCTTGTTACTTAAAGAACAAATACTGATATGACAAACAGATAAATCATTAAGATTGATATTGTCTTGTAGATGGGGTCCAGGGTTCGGATGGATATCGCCACAGGCTAGTAATATGAAGAGAAGTAATATATGAAAATGGTAAATAGTAGAAGACGAGCTCAGTGAACCACCAGAGGCACCAATACTAAGTAGTGTGTCATTCACAACTCCCTTCATACCTGGATGAATCACTAATTTAACCAAAAAAGATATACATTAAATGTGATGAACAGTGGTAAGGAGAGTGATGTGAATGAACAAGGAAATTCATGATAAAGTACAACTGGCAAAGAAATGGATTTAAATATCGTAAGCAATGATTACATGTGTAACTGTTATTCTCAATACAGGCATGGCAAATGGCTAATATATACATTTTAAACAAGTGTAACAAAACGGCATATATACATATAAAAACAATTAACATTACTTTATCATTCAGTGATGTATGTTCGGCATAAGACATCATAGATTATTCAAGTCAATAGATTGATCGGCATAAGAATCCGTCCCAGTCTGATTAACATGTGAGAAGTTTGTATGGACATCTAAGAGACCGCTGGCTCAAGAATTCTGTGATTTTTTTTTTTTTTTTGAATACTAATTACAAAATTAATACAACAGTATAGGGTATGAAATTGACGAAGGGAAGTAGAAATAAAATGAGATAGAAAATGATGAATGCAATAT